TTTTAGGGCGTGAAGGGCTTTGAGGTGTCCTTCGTGTCGTGGCCCGCGGGTTCGTAGGCAAATGTGACAGACGATTTGCATACCACAACGTCTCACACGCAGCCATGAAAGGAGCAAACAATTTTACTGGGAGGGATCGGTTGGTCAGGACACCGGTGGTGGGGTGGGGTGGGGGGGGGGGAGAGAGAGAGCGAGAGAGAGAGACTCTTCTCTTTCAAATAGCGCCGCAAGATCTTTAACATCCACCCGAACGGGCAGAGGGGACCTCGGTTTAATGTCTCAGCCAAAGGACGGTCTCTCTGAGTTCCCGGGTAGGGCCATAAGTCACCCAACTTTCCTCGCTTCCCGCGCCTCTGTTTACCTAACAGTAAGTAAGTAGGGAACCCGGTCGCGACTCGATTGGCGGACGGCTTTTCCGGGGTTGATAATCCCCTTCCGCACCCCACAAAAAAAAGAATAATTTGGTCGCTCGATCCACGCCTGTTTGCAGCCGATTGGCGCCCGCGTTGCGCCCGCAAAGGTACACGGTCGCCCCGCTTCCGGTTGAACCCTAGCGACGCGCCCTGAGAGGTCTCGGAGACGCCTGATGAGGCGCTGCTACCGACTGCGAGGATTATTATTCTTGTTATTATCAATATTGCTGTTGATTTCTCTCCCCCGAGTGGGTCCGTGGAGAGCCACGAGAGCAATATCTCTGTGCACGTGAGTGAAAGCCGGTCCCTTAATAATTGCCAGTAATTCAGGCTCAATAACACAACGTGATGGTGACGGTGTTGGCGGTGGCGGGCGGGGGGGAGGGGGAGGGGGAGGGGGAGAGGGGGGGGGAAAAGTCGCACACAGGGAGCTCAGCGGCAGACGTTCGTTCCGTTGTATCTCAGCCGCTGCCTGTGTCAGACACGTTGCCTCGGCAACTCCTTATGTTGTCGAACGGAGCTCTCGAATTACACCACGGCTTTGCCACGAAAAGTGCAGCGCGTGTTGTGCTGTCCTGTGTGCGAGGCGTGCTGCTGGCGTGTGTGTGTGTGTGTGTGCGTGTGTGCGTGTGTGTCCTGTGTCGTGGGGTCCGGTACGTACGTGTCCCGTGTTATGGGGCCCCAGGCAAGTCCCGTGTTATGGGGGTGGAGTGACGTCCTCCGGCCTCACATACAGCAATGCCCAAGTTTGCCAATGCAGCGTTACGTAGAATCTCGAACACCAAGAGAGGCCATTCGGCCCAACCAGTCAGTGCCACTGTTTATATCCTATACGAGTTCCCCCCTTCCCAACCCTGCCCGACCCTCCCCCACCCTGCCCGACCCTGCCCCACCCTGCCCGACCCTGCCCCACCCTCCCGACCCTGCCCCACCCTCCCCGACCCTGCCCCACCCTGCCCGACCCTGCCCCACCCTACCCGACCCTGCCCCACCCTGCCGACCCTGCCCCACCCTGCCCGACCCTGCCCGACCCTCCCCGACCCTGCCCAACCCTGCCCGACCCTCCCCAACCCTCCCCCCACCTCTTCTTAACTTAACTCAGGAACCTCTCTCCCTCTATCCCTCCGCCTTGCCCCCTTTTTCCTGCCCCACCTTCAGGTCGCGCCCAGCGTCGTGGTTACACATGTCGTGGCTGGCCGTCGTCCCCCACCCCACCCCTCCCACCCACCCCACCCCCCGCACCCCCCCCAGTCCTCCCTCCCTCCCTCCCCCAATTCCCTGGCCTCGTGCTCCGCCACCATGAAGCGCTCTGAGTCGCTACCCTGCATGGAGGGGGGGGGGGGGTGTAAACCCAAGTTGTTGTTGTTGTCGCCGCACCCCAACACCCCCCACCCTCCCCACCACCACCACCACCGAAGAATTAAAACACCTTTGTCTCCCCTCCCCGGGCCCAGATCGGAAGTTCCTGATCGCCAACGCCCGGATGAAGAACTGCGCCATCATCTTCTGCAATGACGGCTTCTGCGAGATGTTCGGCTACTCGCGGGCGGAGATCATGCAGAAGCCCGGCTGCTGCGGGTTCCTGACCGGCGCAGACCCCCCGGGCGCGGCCGCTGGCGAGGCTCAGCTCCGGCTACAGCAGGCCCTGCTCGGCTCCGAGGAGGTCAAGCTGGAGATGCCGTCGTACAGGAAAGACGGTGAGAATGCGGTCGGGAGATTGGGGGTGGGGGGGGGGAGGGAGTGGGGGGAAAGGGAAGGGGAGGGGGAGTGGGGGGAAGGGGAAGATGGGGAAGGGGGAGATGGGAAAGGGGGGAGATGGGTAAGGGGCGGAGAGGAGGGGGAGAAGGGGAAAGGGGAAGAGAGGAGGGGGAGATGGGGAAGGGGGAAGAGAGGAGGGGAGATGGGGAAGGGGAAGAGAGGAGGGGGAGATGGGGAAGGGGGAGAGGAGGAAGGGGGAGAGGAGAGGAGAGGAGGGGGAGATGGGGAAAGAGGAGAGGAGAGGGGGAAGAGAGGAGGAGGAGATGGGAGAGGGAGATGGGGAAAGGGGAGGGGAGGCAGGGAAGAGGAGGGGGGGGTTAGAGGAGAGGGGGTAATTGTCTTGCAAGAGCCTTGCGACCACGAGACTACCTTTTAATTACGATAATATTCTTTCTAACACTAATAATCCTGGTGTTTGATGCAGTGCCTTTTCAAAGCGCTTCACAGTCAAGTGGAGTGACTGTGCATTTTGTGGGGCGAAAAGCAGCAGCATAGCAGAGTTTTTTCCCCCCCAGATTCCCCCTCCCCTCCCCACCCCCCCCCCCCGCAAACCATCCTGTATTGAAGCGACCAATTTTCTTGCGGGGGGGGGGGATGGTGAGGACGAGAAATTATTACCCCCCGGAAAAGCCATCCGCCAATCGACTTGAGAACCGGGTTTCCTACCGGGTGAACGGAGTGAGGAAACTTGCCCGGGGTTTGGCCCTGACCCGTCTCAGGGGATCGAACCCCGGGTTCTTCTGGCCCGCGAGGCGAGGGGAACGCTCCAGACGCGGGCGGCGCTGCGGGACTCCACCCCCGACGCTCCCGTCGTGCCTCCATCCGTCGCTTTATGGAGTCCTGTGGCTCAGTGGTTAGAGCACTCGCTTTGCAAGCGAGAGACCTGAGTTCAATTCCAGGCAGAGGGCGAAACCTTGGGCAAGTTTCCTTACTCCACACAGAGCCTAATAATAATCCCTCCAAAACCAAAAACAATAATAAATTGGTCATTTTCAATCCACGACTGTTTGTGGGACATTGCTGTGCGCAATTGGCTGCCGCGTTCGCCCACAAGTATACAGTCAATTCGCTTTACAGTGTGTTCTGTGAAGCGCTTTGGGACGTCCTCCCGACGTGAAAAGCGCGATATCAAATGCGAGGGTTATTATTATTATTATTCCTCACTCGCTCGTGTTGGCAGCTGAGCTGAGGCGATGTAATCTGGGGATAATTAACAGCCAGGAACAAGTTGCCACTGGGGGATCCGTTCCACCACAGAGCCCGAGGCTCGAAACTTAACGCTGAAGAAACCTGGCGCATTACGTACCCATCACCGCCCCTCTCTTCCCTGCCAGAAAGCCGTCAGCCCGTCATCATCATAGCAGCAGCAGCGATAATAATATTAATGATAATAATAATCCTCGCGTTTGATACAGCGCCTTAGTATCGCGCCTTCGAGACGTCTCAGAGCGCTCTCGGGGTAACAAGGGGAGTGACTGGGCCTTGTGGGGGCGAAGCTCAGCGGTCGATTGCGAGGTCCCCGCAAACGGTCGTGGTTTTGAGGGATCCAACTTGTTATTCCAATCGAAAGCGTCTGTCTCTATCCTTCCCTCTGCCCATTCCCACCCCCCCCCCCACCCCCCCCACCCCCCGCCACAACAGACGCTCAGGGAGTGTTTTACAGACACTGCACCTTACAGCGTATCCTGTGAAGCGCTTTGAGACGTCTCGAAGACGTGATGAGGCGCGGTATCAGACGCGAGGATTATTATTATTATTATTATTATTGATAATAATTGCCAAACGCATTACAGTGGAGCCGGGGGGGAAATTGAGAGGCGCCCGATATAATAGCTCTGCAAACACGAGGTGGCGAGAGTGATTAAGCAGACGACCGGCCATCTAATAACAGGTCATGACGCAGACCATATGCCAGTTGTTTACCAGCTGACGTGCGTGTGTGCGCGTTCGTGTGTGTGCGTGTGCGTCTGTGCGCGTGCGTGCGCTCGCGTGTGCGCGTGTGTGTGCGCGCGCGTTCGTGTGTGTGTGTGCTCGTGTGTGTGTGTGTGCTCGTGTGTGCGTGCGTGGGTGTGTGTGCTCGTGTGCGCGTGCGTGGGTGTGCGTGTGTGTGCGTTCGTGTGTGTGTGTGCTCGTGTGTGCGTGTGTGTGTGCGCGCGCGTGCTC